CGCATAAATGTGCCGTTGACGCGGCCAAAAATGCGGACAGGACAAGGGGGCATAGCATTCGACAATTTGAAACTAATCTGAAATGTTGTGGACGTAGTGCCACTTGTGAACGCCGTGGGATTCGAGCAGAAAGGCGAATCTTAATTACTGCGGGTTAGTGTGCGTGTGGAGAGGCAGTTGTACAACTGGTCCAGCCCACCTTCCTGTTTTCTAGGGGAGTTTTTCGTTTTGGGCTTCATCGACGATGTTTCTTTGTGCTCCATTTCATTTTTATATAACGCGGCATACACAACTTTATTGTGGCCCACGAAACTCGATCTGGAGGTGTTGCTTTAGCAGAATGCGTTCATTAGAAATATAGCTCTCGCACTGAAATCAAGTCCTCCATTAGAAGGCAAAGAGGGTACCCGGTCACCTTTGAGAGTCATCTGTGGGTAACTACAATTAACAGCTTTCTAAAAGAAGGAAGCATACCACACGGAGATGCCGCGGAAAAACGCAAAAACGATTGAAGAAGAATTGTTAGCAAAAGCTCCATTCTCTTCCGAGTGAGTGCACTTTTTAAGGTTATTTCTGACGTGAGTCGATGTTAGAGAGCATTGTAATGGTATTGCGCGACCTCAAAAGGGATTGTCTTAAGTTGCTTTCATATCGTCCATAGCATTGCGACAATCATTCTGCAAAGAGGAGGCGCGGCTTTTCAATTAGGTTGTCGTAGTGTGGATTCATTAGTTGTCTTCATAAATACAGGGGGGGGCAAAAAAAAAAGACATTTTGCCTCCACTTCCAGATGGATTTAAGCACATTTTACTCAACTCAGACCGAACGGTTCCAACTTATTATTAAAGAGTGCATTCCATTCTATAAGAAAATCTTCATAGTGGCCACGTACGTGGACGGCATCAGAAGAATTAGCCCTGGAAACATGGTGCACTGGTCGATCTCAATGGGGTCTTCGAAGGATCGTGTACCATAACGACCCTTACTGGAAAGCTAGTTCCGAGGGGATTTGCACAGTGGTAGCTAATGCCTCTAGAAAACTATCCAACATTAAATCGATTCACGAAATTGCGTAAGAGCTTCAGGCTGAAGCTCTTACGGTAGACTCCTTGGTGACGACGGTGACAGATGACGTCATATTCTGAAGACGGTGAGGGCAGTGAAGGAGAGCCTGCGTACACTAATAGAGGAACACTTAGGGAATACTCTGCTGAGGAACTCCCGTCAACGACAGCAATCTTGCGAAGAAAAAAGAAGTCGAAGTCCAACATAGGCAAAATGTCTTTTTTTTTGCCCCCCATATATATTATTATGCTCATTCTTACGCTTTTTCCTCCCTTCCTTACTGAAGAGCACGGAGGGAGGGTATTTTTTTCCAGTTTGGCTTCCGTCTAAGGGCACGTGCGAAACGGAAGTCGAACTAATTCTTTGATTATTCCCCCTAAAAAATTTCTAAATTATTCTGCTCTTTTACTCATACCTAACTATTTTATTTACAAGATTATCATCGCTTCTATTGAATGCTTGCAAGTTTGTTTTGAGGCAAGTTCTGTAACTGGGCCGTGAGCAATTCAATTCGAACACATTGAAGTTACTGGACGTCGTTCTGGCAACCCGAGGACGATCTGGAAGACGAAGAGTGGGTTGAGCTATCTCATTCTAGCTTGCTCCGATACCTCGCCATTTCCGTCTAATTTCAGCAAATCTCTCGGTCAAACACGTCTTTCCCAACAGCAGCTCTTCTCTCTCTGCACGCTTCCTCAGATCCAACACTGGATTATCAGCCTGGATTTGGCCTTCTACCAAACCATTGTCGACATTCTTGTGCCCGATGTGCTGATGAGCAATATGTCGCGTACGATTTTACGAATACTTTCTGAGCAGGAACAGTCTTTCACAGTCTCACTGTTCCAGCTTTCCTCACGCAGTCATGTCGAAACTTTGCCAAAAATGCAGAGCACTACCTGAAGAAAGCCATGCAAGGCGCTCCAGAAATCATTCAGAAGAAGAAGATCCAAGCTGTAAAGTACATGGCGCAAGGACTGAGAAGGTGCCACTGCACGCATTTCATGAATCCGTTTGTTGTAATGAAAGAAAAAGATTACAGATACACCTCATTGAACCATCTGGCCCAAGCAGCTCGCGCAGTACTTCAGAAGCCCGACCAAGTTATGGCGATGTACAACGACTACATAAGGTATTTCCAAAGCCTTCTGTCCTCTGAGTCGAATCCAAACCTTTCGGAATTTTCAGAGTTGACATGCAACAGGTGCAAGAGCAAGCTGGCTGGGTGAGCGGATGTGACTCGTTGATGGTTCATCACATTCACAACGCTTTCAAGGATAATCTGCAGAAAATGGCGCCCATGGAGGAATGGGCCGAATGGCTCGAAAGTATTGTAGACCAGGTAACGATAATTATTAGATAGATGAAGTGCAATCCCTGTGCAAACAAAGAGCAGGAGCTTCTCTCGAAGCAGCAACCCAAATAAGGTAGTGTCGAATCTATTCTGCGGAAGGGATAGAGTAGCCCATCGGATACTAAAGCTGTGCCGTTGTAGCTGCTCGAAAATGCGTGACATTGGCGCTATAAATTCACAAAGTGAAATTGTGGCGACTAATTAAAACTATGACGAGATACCATTCGCGCAACCACCCATGACACGCAATGTGCGATAAACGACCCTACTGTTACAAACTGAAATTGTCGCCCACTTGCCTTTGAACTTGCCACTTTGATTAATTCTTTTGTATAATTATTAATTTGTTTTTTTTTCATTGCCGATGAGGTATTTTTCCAAAATGGTTTCAGATCCTCGCCAAATACCACGACAAGCCTGTGCAGATTATTTCCGAGATAGGAAAGCAGTTTCTTCTCAACTGGAGCTGCTACACGTATGTTGTCCATTACCGTACTTTGTGCGTCCTAACGACAACTTGCCATTTACAGCTCGATGTTGATTCGCGATTTAAACGCTTCGGTCAGCCGGCTCGTTTGGATCATTCCATCTGATCCGACTTCTTACTGACGAGTACATGGTGTACCTTATCGAATCACGCATTGCGAAAGCTGT